GAGCAGGGGGGCTCTCTTCTGGCCTGGGGGGCCTGGACGCCTGGAGGGGGGGCTGGTTGGGTGGGGTTTGCCCCACACGTTCTGTCCTGGGTGCCAGGATCATTCACTCCCCTTCCTCGCAGACCTCCCGGAGGCACGGAAAGGAGTCTCTTTTCGACGTTGCTTTGGGCATGGGTTGGTCTCTGGTGGGTCAATCTGGACAGGTCTGGGTTTGGCTTTGATTTCGCCGGAGGTCCTCGGTTCCTTCTGCCGAGCCGTGCCCAGCCAGGGTGGTGTCTTGGTCAGGAGCAAGCCTCCCTGTAAGCTGTGGGTTCTTGTGAGCAAAAATTCTACTTTGTGAGCTCCTGGCATTAAAGTGGTGAGCGAGAGATTTGGCTCCTGCATGAGCTGAATCCACTCACATGCTCTTGGTTTTCATTTAGATTGAAAAGAGAGATGTACAAGAAGCTGCTTGCTACAGAACTCATCAAAGAGCACAAGGCCATTTCAGAAATGCAGCAGGGAACCACTTCAGACATAAAAGCATTTATTTTTTTATGACAAGGTGAATGGGAAAAGCTTGTACATCTGCTGCTCTTAATGGGGTTCAAAACCCAGTCCTAAGATCTGTCCCTCAAATGGTCCCTCATTTCTTGCATAACTTGAGTTATTTTGCCCCAGTATCTATGAGGTCAAAATCCTACCGAGTCCTTTAATCTGAGATTTGACAATCTAAATTGGCTACTGGTTTCCCAGGAGGACCAATTTGAACAATTGACTTGGGATGGATGTCTTAGATCATCCCCCAAAGAGCATCACTACAAAGACCCACTGATATCACTCTCTTTATAGACCTCTCTTGCCCCTGAGATAGGAAAATAACTAGATACCAACTGATGACGTGAGAGGTCAGATTTCACCTTGTCACTTCTCTCGGTAATCCCCTAGTTAAATTACTTTCATGATAGTACTATTCTACTGTAGCCCCTCAAAAGAACAACATAGGAAAGCCAGTGATATATTTGGTCAAGAGTGTTGGACTAGGACCTGGGAGACCCAGGTTTAAATTCCTACTCCTGCCTTGGAAACTGGCTGGGTGACCTTGGGCCAGTCACGCTCTCAGCCGATCTCGAAGATAAAATGGAGAAGAGCAACAGCAGAATCACTGAGGTATGCATTTCCTTGCCACCCCCTTGGTGCCCGCTGACAGGTTTAGATGCAGTCTTCTATATATCCCTCGTCAAGCAGTCCTGAGAAAGACTGTTTGGTTGACTGGTTGCTTCCATGTGTGTAGTGTAGCCAGGAGCAGTATTCTCTCTAAGCTGAGGTAGTGTGAGCTAGCTCACAGTTTTTTAGCCTCCAGCTGATACATTTTTGTCTTGGCTCAGGAAGGATGGGGCTCCAGAGCAAACTAATTGATGCAGTAGCCAAATCGCTTGCTCACAACTTTAATGCCAGGAGCTCACAAAGTAGAAATTTTGCTCACAAGACTCCACAACTTAGAGGGAACATGGGCCAGGAGATCCTACAATTGTCTGGCAGCCAAAAGTTCTAGCTCTTTAGTGTCACCCAGGTTGCAGCACGAGGAGGAGAGCTAGGATTATTTCCCACACGACAAAGAAGAAGAATGGTGCCCATTCTTTGAAATAGAGTAAAATCCACCTGGGGGTGGGTGGCCGGCCTTGTTCCCCCTGGGCCTGGCAGGGGTGGGAGTGTGGCATGCCCCTCTCTTCCAGGGCACCACGAATGGCTGCTGAGTGACCAAGTGGACCTGCTGCCCTCCCTGCTGCTCCCGCTGGCTGGTCCCGAGGAGTTTCCAGAGGATGAGATGGAAAGTAAGGTCCCACTGGGAAAGGGGGAGGAGGGGGTTGACGCAGGGACGGTACCGCTTTCCGGGAGGGGAGGGGGGAGGGCCTTGGGGGAATGCCTGGCTGGAGCATGCAGAGCGCCTGGAACTGTGGGCTCTGTTGGACCGTGGCACCTGTGCATGTGGGGCTGGGCAGGGCTTGGGGTGCTGTCGACCTCCCCACTCTTGCTTGCAGAGCTGCCCTTGGACCTGCAGTACTTGCCGCCGGAGAAGGGGCGGGAGCCGGACCCGGAGATCCGGAAGTTGCTCCTCGAGGCCCTCCTGCTGGTGAGTCCTCGCCTGGGAGCCATGCTGCTGATGCATGCCGGCGTGTCTGGTCCCTGCTGCAGGGTTCGGTCTCTGACCTATTGCAGATTTTCCTCCGTTAACAACTTTCTGGTCATTCTGACGGGATGAGGGCCTTCAATTTTTAGGATGTCCCAAACCCCTCCCAGTCCTGTCTTTGGCACTGGAAAGGTGGTGTGGGTGCCAGGCCGTTTGGCGCCTCTCTTGGGCTGCTTGGTTTTGAACTCATGCCCTTGGGCGGAAGGCCCTCCCCACCCCTGAGTGCGTGCTCTTTCCTGTACCCCCGGACAGCTCACCGCCACGAAGCCGGGGCGGCTGCTGGTGCGGGAGAGGGGCACCTACTTTATCCTGCGGGAGCTGCACAAGTGGGAGGCGGACCCCGGGGTCCTGGCGGCCTGTGAGAAGCTGATACAGGTACGGGGGTGTGGGGGCGCTCAGACCATCCTCCCTTTGCTCTGTCTCTGCCTGGGGCGCCTGCCGGGGGTGGGTGGGAGGTGGGGCTCCTCTCCTCCTCCTCCTCTGAGCCTGGGTCCGTTTGCCCCAAGCAGGTTCTGATCGGCGACGAGCCAGAACCTGGGATGGAAAACCTGCTGGAGGTGGAGATCCCTGCGGAAGTCGAGGAGCAGCTGCAGCGTCTGGATCGGGGGGAGGAGGAGGAGCAGCAGCAGCGTGAGCAGCCTGCCCCTGGCTCACAGTCCCCGCAGGGATAAGAGGCCTTGCCTCCCCGGAGCCACAGGCCCAGCTGTCTCCCCGCCGACTCCCTGCTGGGCTACTCAGACTGGAGGAACTCTCGCCCTCTTGCCGCCGTGGTCTGTCGGGCAGAACGTCCCGCGTGGCACTTCCCCCAGCGGCTGCGCGTGAGCGGTGGGACTGCAGCAGACCTCATTTCGGAGCGGGACCCCAAAGGGGTCGAGTCCTCCTGTCTGACTAAGAAGCGAGACGGCTGGCTGGCTTTTCCTGGCGTTTTGGTGCCGAGGCCGGCGTAGTGGGAGGTGCAGAGGGTGCCAGCAGGGGTGGGGGGGAGGGCTGCCCTGCATTCTCTCGTCCCGGGCACTGCGAGGAGCAGAGTCAAGCGGCGGGATTTGCAGGTCGGGGACCTGAGAGAGTGCGGGGCCTCCTGAATGGCTGGTGGGCCCTTCTCCTTGGGTGACCTGTGGAGGGCTGGAGGACCCAGGAAAAGGGACAGCTGTGCCCGTTGGCCCACGCTTGCCTCCCCACCCCCCCTGTGCCGTAAGCCCCTGGCAGAGCCATCCCGTGAGACACAGCAGGAGTGAGCACCGGCAGCAGCTCATTCTCACTAGCAGTCGTGCCCTCGTTTTTCTAAATTGGTTGTGGGAATTATTTAGCAGACCTCGACTGCTGCGGGTCTTTGACCAGGGAGTTTTTCTAAGTCCTGTGGGGCCTGGGCAAACGGGGGGAGGCTGGCCCCTTGGCGGTGGGGTGGGGTGGGGTGGGAAGAGGCCCCAGGGTGGGGGCTCTGCTGTGGGGTTGGAGTGAGCTCTTGGTCCTTGGAGCCCCAGTAGCTGCTCTGCGCCAGGGAGGGAAAGGAGGGCTGCGTAGATGCATTGGCACCGAACCCAGAGCGAACCAAAGAAGTTAGACGGAGAACGGAGTTGGGACAAGAAACAAAATAAAGGAGACTAATCTTCACGAGGCTCAAGGTGACTCTTGGTACTCTGCTGCAGGGAAAGGATCCGGGGTCGTGGGCGTGTTGCTGTAGCAATGTAGGCTCAGACTCACAGGAAGCAAGGTAGCCGTTGGGGTCTTGGCCAGTGTTCCCTCTAAGCTGAGTCAGTGGGAGCTAGCTCACCGTTTTTTAGCCTCCGGCTCACACGTTTTTGTCTTTGCTCAGGAAGGACGGGGCTCCAGAGCAAACTAATTGATGCAGCAGCCAAATCACTCGTTCACAACTTTACTGCCAGTAGCTCACAAAGTAGAATTTTTGCTCACAAGACTCCACAGCTTAGAGGGAGCATTGATCTCGGCCAAGCAGGGGATATGGAAGACGCCCCCCCATGAGGGAAGGGACCAAGGGGTGTGGGGGGAGTATGGGTACGAACATGTGAATCCGGCCTCCGCCCCACCAGTCTTTCACATCACCCGCCCCCTGGTCTTTTTAACCTAAAATGCCGGGGGTTGAACCTGGGACGTTCTGCGGGCCAGGTAGATGCTCCGCCACTGAGCCCTGGCCCCTCCCCTTAAAATGCAACTTCAGCTTCTGAGGGCGGAGAACGTGCACTGCTTTCCTTGCCTGGAAGTTTGGGGGGAGGAAAGTGGGAGAACAGCACCTCCTCCCGCACAGTGTGGTCACTGGGAGACACCCCCCTTCCCCCGGGGGGAGGCGCACAGCAGCCCTTCGCAGCACACGGCGATGCGCGCGACAGGAGGGTATGAGACAGGCAGCCACGCAAAGCAAGGATACACTGATGTATATAGAGAAACAGAATAACAGCACTGGGGCCGCTGCAGTCGCTGAGGCAGCCCGCTCGAGGGCCGCCGCTGCTGCTGCCGCCGCCACTGCCGGGGCCTCCTGGGTTCCACGTCTGCCGGAGGGCCGGGCCGGCCGGCACAGACACTTCAGCAGGCAGCCCAGGACTCTGAATAAGATTTAATAGTGCCCCCTCCTGCCTGTCCTCCGGCGCGGGGTCAGGCCCAAGCAGGGGAGGGGCCCCCGGCCCCAAGTGGGGAGCCGCTCGAGTTCGAGGGGGGGGCCGTGGGGCTGGGGCGTGGCTCACGGGCACGGCGTCATGGTGTAGAGGGAGTGGACTTGTTTGGAGAGGCTGGAGGAGCCTCCGCCGCCAAGCGCCGCTGCCCGGGCGGGGACCTTCTCCCCCATCCGCTTGCTAGCCACGTAGGCGCTGGCGGAGAGGGCCGAGCCGGGCTTGCGGAAGTTGGGCAGGTGGTGGAAAGGCTGCAGGGTGGTGAGCAGGCTGGGCCGGTACAGGGAGAGCCTCGGGGGGCGCTCCGTCTTCCGCGGGGAGGGGAGCTGAAGGACGCAGTTGCCGGGGGTGGTGGTGGTGGTCTCAGGGCTCTTCTTCTCCACCTTCGGCCGGGTGGGGAAGGCTCCCATGGCGGAGGAGGCCCGGGGGGTCGGCAGGGCTTTGGGCTCCTTGGCCATGCCCTCCAGGGTCTTGGCTGTGCTCTCCAGGCCGGGGAGTTGCGACTTGGAGCCTCCGGTGGTCTCGGCTGCAAAGGCGGCAGGGGGGGGGGGTTGTTACTGCCAAAGGAGCCTTTATTCTTGCTGTGTTTCCTGTTTGTGGCGTTAGTGGTACCACTGCCGATCTATGGGCCTGGGCCGAGGTAATTCAGTGTGAGGTTTTGATCTCGGGGCCCTGCCTCATGAACGCATAGAATCATAGACTGGGAAGAGGCCCCCCGGGGTCATCTAGTCCAACCTCCTACACAAAATGCAGGAAATTCATAAATACCTCCCCCTCCACCACCTGCAGTGATTCCTGTTCCATACCCAGAAGATGACAAAAAAACCCTCAGGATCCCTGACCAATCTGGCCTGGAGAAGAATTGCTTCCTGACCCCAAAGTGGCGATCAGCATTTCCCTGGGTTGGTCTTTCTCTTGAGAGAAAGACCTCAGCGGGCCAAAGTTTCTGGGGCTCTTTCCTCATGTGGCACCCTTCCCATGTTCCAGGAAAGTGGGCCAGGATCATTGCCTGGTAAGGCTTTTGGCTGGCACATGGTCCCCACTGCTGGAGGGAAGGGTAAGCTCTGAGCCCCCCTGCAGTGGAGGCCTCCTTTGCTCTTCTCTGCAGCCAGGGAACGGGGCGGGGGCGGGGGGAGGAAGCTGGCTGCACAGAAGAGAATAAAACCACCCCCGAAAAGAACAAGCAGGACGCCATTGGGTGGCGCTGGTTTTACTCCCTCCACTGCCAGCCCGTTCTCTGGGCACCCCGGCAACCTCGCCATCTCTCCTGAGCTTCTGTGCCTCCCACTGCAGAGAGCGTGCATGGGCTGGCAGAGAAGCCCTTCCCCTCCTTCCAGAGGCCCAACGACTGAGCACAGTGCCAGGGTGCTGGGGAGAGAGAGAGCCCCACAGGCGCTGAGGTTCTCCGGTAATTTTAAAAAGTTACAGTTAACAGCTGACCTTCAATAATTAATACTCATATTTCGGTATGTGTGTGGATGGGGGGGGGGAAGGAGTCACGTGGCTCTTTTGGTTGCTAGCCGTTGCGCCCGTGGTGCTCTGGGAGCCGCAGAGTGAGTGCTATTGCTCTGGTGGGGTCTCCTGGCATTGCTTCTCTGCTTCTGCCTCTGCCTTCCCCAAGGAATTGTGTAGACCCTCCTGCTCTGAGCACCTCTACCTGGGGAGCTGCCTGGGACTGCTGACTGGCTGTGCAAAGGGGCCAAGTGCTCCCCGTGCACACACACCCCACCCCAGACAGGGTTCCCCCCGTCGTGTGAGTGAGGCCATGCCTCCCTCCAGCCTCCTTTCCTTGCAGGAGAGGTGGGGTTCTGCCCCCTCCCCCAGATACCTTGTGCTGCTGTTGACTTTTCTTGGCTTGTGCTGCACTCCGGATGGGCCCCGATGGAGCTCATCACGCGGTGGAAGATGGCAGAGGTGGCGGGCAGCATCCAGCGGTGCGTGGCCACTTGCTGCAGCCCCAGGCGGGCCACCGGCTTCAGCTGGAGCAAGCCCTCGATGAGGTTCTGGCATTCTGGGAGGGAGGGATGGAGAGGAGAGGAGGCTGGGGTTCCATTTTCCTTCCTCCTCCTGAACAGGGGTGCCCACACCCTCCCCTGCTGGGCCAGGAACCAGCGGCCCCTCCTGCCAGGCCAGGGCGAAGGTGGTGGGGCCAGCAGCCACCCCAGGGCGGCCGTAGTCCAAGCCTGGTGTTGAGGTGCTGCAGGGCTCTTGCAGTCCGTGGAGACGTTTTGGGCCCCCAGTGCAGCAGCTGGGCTGCCAGTGTGTGAACATATTTTGCCGGCGCTTTGGAGGGCTTTACTGGTTTCCGGTTTGTTTCCTGGCCAGCTCTGCTTATGGGGAGTGCTCAGTGGCAGAGCACTTGCGTTGCATGCCGAGGATCCCACGCTCAACCCCCAGCAGCATCTCCAGTTCAAGGACCCAGCAGTGGTGATGTCAGAGCCCTCTGCCCGAGACCCTGGAGAGCTGCTGCCCATCTGAGTCCGCAGTACTGACCCTGATGGACTGAAAAGGCCTGACTCAGTTGGAGGCCGCTTCACGTGTGTGTGTTTACAGGCCTTAAATGGTCTGGGGCCCAAACAGCTGAGGGGCGACCCTGCTCCTGGACACGCTTGCCTGCCCACTAGGGCCATTCTTTGGACTGCCCCTCCCTTCAGGGACCAGTGTTCCCTCTCAGCTGAGTCAGTGTGAGCTAGCTCACAGATTTTTAGCCTCCAGCTCGCAGGTTTTTGTCTTAGCTCAGGGAAGACAGCTCCCGAGCAAACTAATTTACGCTGCAGCCAAATCGCTCGCTCGCCACTTTAATGTCGGCAGCTCACAAAGCAGAACTTCTGCGCGCAAGACTCCACAGCTCAGAGGGAGCATTGGTTGGGACCAATATTCCCTCTAAGCTGTAGAGTCTTGTGAGCAAAAATTTGACCACTGCAGAAATTAGTCTGCCCTGGAGCTCCATCCTTCCTGAGCTGAGACAGAAATGTGTGAGCTGGAGGCTAAAAAACAGTGAGCTAGCTCACACTGACTCAGCTTAGAGGGAACAGTGGTTGGGACCCCATTTTGGAGCTCTTCTCCCCCATCCCTGCCGGGCTGTCCCATCTTTCAGGCAGCAAGCAAAGTATGCCCAGTTTGGGTCTGGACTTTGGTGGGTGGCGGTTTGCCTCCTCCTGTTAGAGGAGTTCATTTGAATTCCTAGTTTTTTTACTGGCTGTGGCCAGGAGGCAGCTCTTTTAAATGTCTCTGCCATCTTTATTGGTACACGTGCTGTTTTAACTTTTTATCCTGCGCATGTGTTGGAAGCAGGAAGAAAGCCTGCGCGTCAGAAAGCATGGAATCAGACCCCCGGTCCATCAAAGTCGGTGTTAATAAGTTGTCGAAGGCTTTCACAGCCGGAGTTCATTAGTTGTGTACGGAAGACCACAGCCATACAGCCTGGAAAATCTACAACAACTAAAGTCAGTCTACGCAGACTGGCGAAGAAGAAGAGGGGGAGGAGGAGATTGGATTTCTACCCCGCCCTTCACTACCCAAAGGTGCCTCAGAGCGGCTTACAAACTCCTTTCCCTTCCCCTCCCCACAACAGACACCCTGTGAGGTAGGCGGGGCTGGGAGAGCTCTGACAGGAACTGCTCTTTTTTTTTGCAAGAACAGCTCTGCCAGAACTGTGGCTTGCCCAAGGTCATCCAGCCAGGTGCAAGTGGAGGAGTGGGGAATCAGACACTTAACACGGCACACTTAACCACTACACCAAACAGGCTCTCGGTGGGAGAAGAGGGCCCATGCCCTGGTCACATCTGCTCCTGTACCTGGTGAGATTGGCTGCCGGAAAGCCAGTCCCTGCTTGATCACGTGGATCATTTTGTGCGGCTGGCGCTCCTTGAAGGGGAGCTTCCCTGTCACCATGGCATAGAGGATCACCCCACTGTGAAGAAGAAGGGAAGAGACTGGATTCAGTTGGAGTCTCGGAGCGGCTGACAAACTCCTTTCCCTTCTCCCCTCCCCACAAGAGACACCCTGTGAGGTAGGCGGGGCTGAGAGAGCTCTTTTGAGGGCTGCCCTTGAGAGAACAGCTCTGAGAGAACTTGTGACTGACCCAAGGTCACACCAGCAGCTGCATGTGGAGGAGGAGTGGGGAATCAAACCCGATTAGAGTCCGCTGCTCTTAACCACTACGCCAACCTGGCTCTCGCTGTGCAGGAAAGTACCAGAGAGGGGTCGGTGCACGACAGAGCTCTCACGGGGGCTGGGCACAGCATTGACAGCCCGTGAGCTCCTCAGGGACACAGAGGGAGGCTTGCCGGCCGGTCCTGAAAAGGTGTCTGCCGCCCAGGCTGCCCTTCTCTCCCAAGCCCGGCTCAACCCCCCCTCCCCCCAGCAGGCCCCCGCCCGC